TCTAATAGCTCTTGGATAGAGAAAATGCCTTTTTTCCTTTCTTAAATTCTTAATCATTGCGACAAGACAATTAGCCAGAAATTAATTAATTTCCATTCACTAGTATTTTTAAAAAAATCTTAACAGACGGTCTCTCTCAGATAAGAACTCCACAAAATACATCCCTCAAGAATTCGAAGTCCCACCCACTACCATAAATTTCTTCACCCAAGTCTTGCCGACTGATATAATTCAAAGCCCCTACTGCCGCTAAGAATTTTCGGACACCCTACACTTCTGAGTCAGACACGAAGAGAACACACTGCCAACTGCCCCACTAGAAAGAATGTAAGTTAGTTAATACCTTTCTGGCCTTTATATCTTCATGTACATTCACTGATCTTATTATATTATTTTTATTTTATTTTTATATTATTTTTATGTTCTCTTTGATTGTTTTTGCAAAGTTTGCATTATTTATCTTTTTTATAATCTTCTATGTTTATTTCAACTTTACTTTGATTTCGATTTCATAATGACAATTTCCAATGTTTAATTTCTACAAATAATATAGTACTCAAATACATAAAGATGATAGTGTCGGGGACGATTACTCGAGTTTTACAAGATTTCTCTACAGTAATTGATTTTTACTCCAAATTGAATTGACTAAAATGCTTCATGAGAATCAGTTCTTTGAGTAACAAAACTATTCGCGGAAATATTTGGCCTGACTAGAATTGCCGGTTTGGCTTTAATTTATAACTCGAGTAAAGACGAAACACTTTCATATTTACGTATTTCTATCAATTATTGATCATTGAACGGGAGTTGGTTTGTTCCCTTGAAAAGTCAACTAATTTCCGATCAATGACAATAATTACATGTTTTAATTTTTACTTTTGCAATTGTAATATTATTCTTCGTGATGATTTAACTCCAGTCCCCGTTAAAACATTATTAACATTTTGCTTTCAAATTACTTCAAAACATCTTTCAAAATATAACTTACCAGTATGGATGCACACTTTTAAAATAATTCTACTTTAATTAAACTTAGGAGATAATATAATCAATTAATCAATACGGTTTAGGAAATAAATTATTATTAACTAACTTTGCAGCAATTGCGCAAGTAATAATAACTTGTATTCGCACTAAATGGATTTAAGTTCATACAACATATATAAGGTATATATATATATATATATATATGCTCTGACAGTTCAATGGTTCCTCGGGATACGTCATTAATACGGTCTAGGTTCTTGGACATATATAAAACTATTTTTTCTGATGAAAAATAAAGGTAAAATGATTAATGCGTTCTAATAAAAGTGTTCTATTATTGTTGTATCACTGTTTGATGCTAAAATGCTAATGCAGTGGGTGAAATATATTCTGTACATGATGCCTTACATAAATGTTTTTTCTGTTATCTTGACTAAAAGCAATTTTTCAACATGCTCTAACTTTTCTTATCTTTGTTCGTTTTGAGTTCTTTCGGAATGTCAGCCGATTTAACGCCGTCTTTATCTTTGCTATTTGCAGTAGTACACACAATTGCACTCGGCGTACGGTATGTTATAGCCAAGTGCCTTATACGCATGTGGTCTTCATGCTCTTCAAGAATCTCTCTTTTAATCTCCATAGTGATCCTAACAATTTCCATCTATGCTTGACTCTTTTTCATTAACTTTCTTAAAACTCATTATTAAGGAATTTACAGAAACCTTACTCGAAAACGCAAAACTATTTGAAAATTGAGAGTTATGGCGAAAGCTGTTCACTGAGATTAACAACAGGCGTACTGACGTTCATGTGCAGTCGCAACACGGTATCGAAAGAAGTAAACAAGTGTAGGGCTCGCAGTCGAGACCCATGAAACTCCAGTCATATTCCAAGCAAATGACGTATATCAAACAAAAATTTTCAAGTCCAAACAAAGACGTATTTCAGATCGGGCGTGCATCGAGGCACCGCTATATTTAGTTGTTCCATCAATAGTCACAGGATACGAAGATTATTTGATGTACTAACAAATTGTTAAATTTATATTCAGTCACACATTCTCATATAAAACAATTTTTGCATGATATAACATATTCTAATTTTATTTTTTTACATGCAATATAAAATTCGCAGGAGGGAAAAAATCGCATCTCCTGGAGGAAAGTTTTATCCTTTGAATTATTATAATATGTTAATGGGAAGGAAACTTCAGCTTTATCATAATTTATTACTAAAAAATAAAAATAATATCAAAATAATCATCAAGGGTTTTAGCTGGTATCAAGTGTAACCAAAATGCGACCTTCGTTCGCATGTGGCTTACCAAAAAACATTGATGCCGCCTATGCCGCATAACGGAAAGAAAAAAGAATAAAAGGTTGAGTGGTTGCCACTTTGAATTTTAAATTTTAACTGATTATATAGTTTCTAACGCATATAACAGCTAACCCTATGAAATGAATACGCATCTTCAAAGCCTAAAACAACTAATAAATCATATTTCAAATCATGGTAGTGTGTTCTCAATTAAACAGAAATATCTGTAGCGTTACATTAAGAATAACTTAATTTAGTCTGGAATTCTGTCTACAGAATTATTTAAATGGCAAACATTCTGTTGTGGAAAGATTTCAGGAAATTCCAACCGTATTTCACTGCGTTTGCAACTCCATTCTCAATTGATATAAAACGTACCTGACCCATTAGTGACCTAGTGGATAAGACTGTTGAGCACTGGTAGTTTGAGCTGTTGAAATGATAGGATCCTGTCTGACTTTAGTAGTTTTTCTTACGGAGCTTTTCTTTGCCAAATAAATACGAGGCAGTTTCCCTTGACAGTTTCTCCACGAAATCATATCTGTCTTTAGGAAGATAATTCTAATGTGCTTTTTTAAACAATCCAGTTAAACTTGCTTGTAGATTTGCTTTTCGATTACCAATGCGCTATTAATAAAATATATTGCGTGGACGTTTACAAGTTTTACCTCTTCATGAAAGAACATTTAGTATTTTAAGAAAAACTTGGTTCATGTCTCTTTTCGAAAAAAAAATCTAAATTTTAAAGCAGCACATTTTTCACATGAATATAAAATGGGAAGAATACAAAATGTGAATAAATAAAAAATGTAAAATAATAAGAAGAATTTCTCAGAACATCTTGAATATACCTTTTGCAATGCTACCACGCCTTTCAAACTAGATAATATAAATACACCTGTGCTCAAAAACGAGATTTAACGCTCATATTAAAATATGCTATACTTTTTTCCTCTTTCGGATTAAAACTTAGATGCATAAATGGGATAATAATATACGTTACATTTTTTAATTTATTAAGTTTTGCATGTTTCCTTTGGCATAATTTTACTTGGCGATGCCAAAATCAGTTCAGCTTTTTTTGAGTCATGTGCCCCACAATTTCTTAAAGTTTCACTTCTGCTATAAATTATAAACGCAGGACAACCATTTTATTTTGATCAAAGAGATATAGCACTACTGCATTTTAAAAACTGATACTGAAACCACGTGTTTCGAGCTTTATCTCCTAAACGTTTCGAAATATGAAAAAAATATTGTTTTTATAGAAATCCATACACTTAATAGATGAAGGATACTTTCTTGTTATTTTTAAAGATTTCCGAAAAATTTATTTCTGAAACTGGAGATCTAAAAACATTTCCCAAACAATATTTGATATAGTTTTTAAGAAAACAATTTATAATCTAAATTTGCTTTACATTTAATAGATTTGCATCAAAACAAATTGAATAAATAAAATTTAAAATAAACTTAGTTTGATAAACTGTTTATTTTTTAAAATTTGTTCTAGTAGAACATTCCAGTGCTGCGATTCTTACAATACTTTCCTAATACAGAATTTTAAGTGAATTTAATAAGCAGAAAATTCGTTTTTCACATACTGAGCCTGTTAAAAAAAACCCCAAGTCTGTTTAAAAACTGAGAGCTTGCTTAACTTGTAAAGCTTGTTTAGAAACTGAGTCTGTTCAGAAGACGTTCTGTTTGATTAGTGTTCGGGCGCCGGAAAATGGATTGATGCAAGTGTGTTTTGTGTGATCATTCTCTTTAGAAGATGACTGTCTTATACTTTACCGTATTCAATTAAGCTGCAAACAAACCTTTTAAAATATTAATAGAATCTTTTAATTAATGTAACTTGGTGCCATACAAATTAGTTTTCTTTCATCGGGAAGACACACGTAAAAATTTTTGAACTCCTGATTTTATTTTTTATTTGCATGTCTGATGTTTTTGGTTTAAATTCTAGATAGTTTAAGGAAAGTGGCAAGGCTTTTTAAAAATAGCCTATTTTTGTCCCCTTGATTATCACACTTCGTATGTTAATGGTTTTTTTTTTTTTTTTTTTTTTTTTTTTTCATTTTCCCAACTTAATTACAGTTTTTTCTAGATAATTATGATTCTAGGATTTAAACAAACATTTAAACAAATTCTATAATAAACGGCAGTTTTGTTAGAATTCAGTCCAGTGAAAGTTGCAGTGATTTCAACTATGTTCGTCATAACGGGTACATAACTTCGTGAAACTCTTAAAACTGTTTTCCCACAGTATTTTATTCTAAACTCTGTGATCTTCCTGGAGTTTTAAATCAAAACTGTAGCTTTAAAATAAAAAACATTTCAAATGCCAGCGATACGTTAGAGATAGAATCCTATGTTTCTCCAAATCATTTGGCCTTCATATAACAGATTTTGTTTTTGTTTTGTTTTTTAATTTCTCAAAGAATTATACTTATTTCCAGACAGTTATAATTTGAAGTTTCTGCACGTTTAAATATAATAAGCTCTATAATTTTTATGAATGATTGCAAGCAAAGGAATCCGCATTATGAAAGAATTTCTTTTTTTATTTTTTTTTATTTTCAAGGTAATCGAGAATCTTTTGTTTTTAAATATTCAAAAACCGCATCAGTGACTGTCGCTTATTTAAACCGACTTAACGTTGGAATAATTTAAGACTATTTCGTTTACAGATAAAAGCACTGTGAATTCATCATTACGAAGAGCTGGATGACTCTTCATATGAAAAGTAAGTTTAATTAATACTGATATTTAATACCTATTCTTGAAATATGCTGGTCACATCTTTGGTATTAATTGATTGCTCTGATGAGAGGGGAATAAAAATTCAAGGCTTAATTGAAATATCGAGGTCACGTGTTTGAAGGTCGGTACACTTTTCCTTTCTCTCATCGAGACCTTCAGATTAAATGAAAAGAATAAAGACAAAAGCAGAATTTAAGGGTGGGAAAGATTCTTCCTTTTTGAAGGTCTGTTTAATCTGCGTGTAATTTTTCCATGAAAAAGTAAAATCAAAATATTAGAATAATAATCTGCTAGTTAATATATCGAATAAAACGAAAAGTTAATTGTGAACAATCTGAAATCTAGGTTTAACAAGTTGGACGTATCTTTCAGCTCACTCGAGCTATAAAAACTTTATGATTTGTGTAATAATTTAAGTTTTTACTTACATTAAAGCCTTATGATTATTTTTATGGTAATAATTAGAACACTGATTATAAACTTCTTCGTATTAGGCATTTTTATTACTAGACGCTTGCGCGGTCAGTCACCTGAAAATACTAAATATGATTCCTGAAAATACTGTCACCTGAAAATACTGTCATAAAAAATATGATTTTAATGAGTCCTAGTATGATTTCATAACAATATTCAATATTTCTGATTAGATATTATTACTTATTTAAGTGCACTTTTATTTAAATTAATCAGATTGAAAAGAGAAGTATATTAAGAATTGCGTTCATTGTTTTTAAATCTCTTAGTTTGTTATACTGCAGCTGGCAGATTAAACCTCAAAGCTAAATATCTTACATTTTATTGAATAGCAAAAGCTAGCACGTGGAAGTTAAAAGTATTTTATTTTACACAGTGGAAACACGTTGCTTTTAAATAGCGAAGTTTGTTGATAAAAATTAAAAGACTAATATTTTACATTTTGCTGAACGGCAACAGGCTCGTTCTTTCGAGATAAAATTGTTTTATTTTGAACAGTGTTTCTACTGCTTGCTTTCAAATCGCTGAGTTCATCAATAAAAAATTCATTAAATTCATACTAAATATGAAATAAATAGAAAAACAAATTCAAAATTCTGGCTTCGAGATGCACATGTGTAAAATTTGGTGCTTCTAGGTGCCTCCATTTTCCTGCAATCCGAGGAACCTGCACATACACACACACACACACACACACACACACACACGCACGCACGCACGCGCGCGAGCGCACACACTCATATACGTACAAACAAATAGGCAAACAACGTCTAGTGGCGTTGGCTGAACGGACGAGAACGCCATATGGTCCCTGCCAAGCCTGAAACAGACATCGCTAGCGATGATACCAGTCCTGCGGAGACTGATTTTAAATACCCGTGGCCGAGACTGCCTAGGTACAGATCCTAATCAGTAGCTTCCCCGGTTTTACCTGAGTAGACGCCAGAGGGAAGCTCAAATAAGAAAAGAATTTTTCTGTTCAGACAGGCAGCGAGACGAACTGCTTGTTTTAATGCTTGCCCGGCGCCTTTTTGATTCGGCGTCGTCGTGGGTCGCACGACCTTGCACCTATTGTCGGCGCGGGCCTGACCGGATGATAATGCTCCCATCCATTCAGATTATCCACTTAGAATATGAGGAACGTGAATTAAATTAAGGCTGCCTCCTAACAACTAAAGTTTTCCCGATCTCAGTATCATCGAATCATGGGATATTAGTTTAGAGAATATACATAGGAGTCGATATCTCCACCAGCATCTCTTCAGGAACTTGCACAATTTCATCATGAAAAATGGTATAATATTCCTTTTACCATTATTCAACAACTGTTATCAATTTTGTCAAGTAACGCACTCTATTCCTAGTCGAATCAAGCTGTATTACATGCCAAAAGTGGTACTACATATCGTAAATAAAACCTTAATAATTAGTATTCCGTTATTTGTTTTTTAGTTTATATAATTTTTGGAAACAAATTATATACATAAATCCTCTAATAATAAAAAGTGAAGTATTTTTTAGATATCTATTAAGAAACAATAATAATGCATAATAAGTATTCGGCAGACTATTGCTGCAAATTTTTGGCAGACTGTAAATTAGCGGAAGTTTGTGCAAGACGCTATTGTATTTCGTGGAATTTTTAAATTCAACTCATATTTAAACAAGCTCTTAAAATTGATCGATTTCATCTAAAGTTATGAGAATTACTGCATCGTGCTCTCATGTTGTAAGTGGTAATTGGTTTAGTTGGCAACTGGAAGATCCATGTGGTTCGAATCTTGACAGGGTCACAATTCATTTATCATGTTCTTTGCTTCGAAAAATCTAAAGACTTTGTAATGACCCCAAATTAAAATGCTGTGTGCGATAATTCATTTCACCTACATTAGATTGATTGGGTCTCGTGTCTTTGCCCAGTCGCCAAGTGGAAAAAAATATAAAGAATTAATAAATTTCTTTGCGCATATTCTTGTGTAACTAGTTAATGTATCCAATTGGGAAAGATCTGTGATGCGAATCACAGTTGATGTTTGCTGTTTCCTGGCTTGGAAAACTGGTATTATTTTATGCTGAGCGCCGCCTGAGATAACCACTGACCTGACTTTGTTGTAAAAGTCTTACAGTATTAATAGTCATCCTGGCAGAAGGGAACATTTTCTCCGTGTAAAAATATAAATATTAATATTACATGGGCATACAAGACCTGTGTATAAGCATAGATATGTTGATTACAAACATTGTCTTGTACAAGTTACATATGATAGTTACATAAAATCATGACAGCTATGTGTACATTTAAACATTATCTGAATTCATATTTACAGTACTTTTACTGAGATAGTCAAATTAAACTTGTAATTCATTTACACGTTGACTGGATTTTCAATATCATTTAAACTGCTTTACTATATTATTTTTTATCCAGTACATACAAACTGGATAGTAATATGCTTACATTACAATAGTTTTGCTCTTACAGTCCTGTTATTATTCTACGGCGTGAGCTATTTTTTTAGTGTGGAATTTCAGTTGCAGTATTTTGAATTGCTACCAAAATTGTGCTGTGAAGATACAGTTCTCAAGGTAGGGGGAGAATTTCTTAGTACCTTGCTGAGCATAGCCTGATTACCTCCTCTATTTTAGTTTTCGTCTGCTTGTTGCAGCAGGTATTCTCCGCCCATTGCGGCCAGTATTCACTGCTTGGCATTTTTAAATGCAGTTTATCGATTTTGTGGGCAGTTGAAGAGAAAGTGATCTGCATCACCTACCGCACCACGTTCATACAATTCTGATGCTCGTATGCCGAATCTCTTAAGATAATGTGGGAAGGGACTATGGCCAGTGTAGAATTGAGTTTGTGCTCCGCTGTATGTATTAACTGAGCATGCAACTTTCGGAAAGAACTTGTAGGCTGTCCTCCCTGTGCTTTCCCTTTCCCATCTTTTCTGCCATTCTTGTAAAAGGCTATTGAACGTGTTCTTTTTTTTTTTTTTTTTTTTAAATAGGACTATGGAACACTTACTGCCTTTTACAATCTACTGGAGTCATTGGCTGCAGATTTTGCAAGCACGTCCGCCGCTTCGTTGCCAGTAATACCCACAGGAGCTGGAACCCAGATCAGGATAGGTCTGTCATCTGATGGGATACTTAGAAGAATTTTCTGAATATCTTGCACCAAAGGATTCCTTGTCTTGTGCCCTCGGATGGACACCAAACTTGAGGCAGAGTCGCTATATATGTTGACCTTTCTTCCTAATTGATATTTTGAAAAATTGATGGCTGCTCTTAATGCAAGAAGCTCTGCCTGAAAGACTGTATTTTTGTCTGCCAGTCGTCTTTCCCAAGTTTTAACCACTTCTTCTTGGAGTACACAGTAAGCGCAGCCCGTACTTTTCTCCGTCTTTGAGCCATCTGTATAAATAACTAATGCCTTCTGATTTGGCGGGATGTATTGCATGTGTATTGTGTGCGATAAATCTGTATCTGCAGGGTGTCCAAGCATGATCGGCTTACGCTTCTCATAGTCTGTGTGGTAGAATGTCTTTTGCCACAGAGAGACGTTTTTTTCTAGGCGCAATGTCCTTACTAATAGTGATTCTTTCTCCACTTAGAAGGTCCAGTGGAGGGATGCTCGCCAGCACTTGCAGTGCCGCAGTTAGAGATGTTCTATAACCTTTGCATATGATCAAAAGTTGCATTCTTTGTATGGTGAGAAACTGCCTCCTCATATGGGTAGTAAAGCTTCCTTCCCCATATGGTTGCCCCGTATAATATGATCTTCTCTGAGCGTTCTGTACCAGCTTTTGAGCATAGTGGTTGGAGTGCTCAAGCTGATTTATTTTCTGCTTAAGCTCTTTAATATGTGGTACCCAAGAAAGCCTATTGTTAATTATAATACCTAGATATTTAAGGTCAGTGACCTCTTTTATAGAGACCCCATTTAGTTTAATGTTGAGATTCCTATTTCGCGCTCCATGCCTACATATAAACAGTTGTTTAGTTTTATCTTCTGAGATATTTAATTCGTGCTGATTTGCCCAGCTTGCAAAAGTATTGAGTGAGTTTTGTGCCTTTAACCTAATGTCCGTGCTACCAGAAATGACCAATAAAAAGTCGTCCGCGTACGCCTGGATACCCACTCCTTGCTGTTGGTCATAGAGCGCAAAGGCTGTGTTCCCTACAAGATTCCAAAGTGTAGGTCCCAAGCAGGAACCCTGGGGACAGCCTCTTTCCAACTTGACTTTGAGTACATCATTGTCTGTTGTAACCTGTATCCAACGATCCTGCAAGTAGCTGCGTATAAGATTCAGGATTTCCTTTGGGCATTTGATGATGTCTAGGCATTCGACTACGTCTGGCAAATTTATGCTAACGGAAGCACCCGATGGAAGCTATTATTTTATGCTAACGGAAGCTATTATTTTATGCTAACGGAAGCTATTATTTTATGCTAAGGGAAGCACCCGATGGCCAGTTAAGTCAAATTGAGAGTAATGTAAGACACAA